ATTTTGAACAAATGGTTTCCATTGTTTTGCAGAACTTTTGATCCAGTGCAACGTTTTCTTCGAGTCAGTCCACATTCTATGCCACGTTCCCACATTTGTTGGAATAAACATTTTACTCTGATCACGAAAGGTTACAAAAATCCAATGGGATCAAAGATTTGTGTTTGGTGAAATCCTGGTTTAGTCCTGGTTTATCTCCTGTTTTGTGTCCCCATGGCGGCTCTGTGCGCCGCTCTCTGATAGCCGCACGGAGGAAAAAGTTCATCACTTGCTTTCGCTGCATGCACCAGGTCTCTGTGTCCACTGCCTCTCCCGCCGCACATGCTGAGCCTCGCACGGACGTGCATAACCATTGACATGCCACTGAAAAACAATCTTAAGATCCATGTACGCTACTCATTGTGTGGTTGTTGTTTATACATTTCCCAGAAAGTTTTGCGGTTGACGCTTGGCTGTGATAGGTCGAGAAGCCTATGCCTACATCCCCCAGAATGCCGCGCGCCTCTGACTAGGCTTTACTTCCTGTGTTTTCGTCCTGTTTTTTCTAACGGAGTGACGTTAAACTAACATTCTATCGACCCGGTTTTCTATTGATATCGAACACGTGTCTATTGCAATATATCTCGTTGTCGTTTTATCGCCCAGCCCTAGTTTTACATTGTATTTAGTTTACGGCAGCCGTAAAGCGTGAGCGTGCTGAAAAGTGACGTAAATCGGCTTCGTATTTACCAAATCCGATATTATCCGATCCTTACAAAATACCCATATCGGCCCCCCGATACCGATTCTGAATATCGGATTGGTACATCCCTAGACGTAACGTATGATGATCATGGGAGACAGCAAGTGACAACTTTAACAACCGAATGGGTTATTGCAGATAAGAAGAGCCTTGTAACTGCACAAGTGAGAGCGATGACAAAAAATGATTAAAAAAAAGAGTCCGCACTCCGGGGCCCTTCCAGCTGAGGGGCCCTACGCATACTGCGTAGTCTGCGTATAGGAAGCACCGGCTCTGTCCATCGACTCCCATTGATGTCTCCTGTCGTTGTGTCCTTGGGCAAGATACTTAAACCCACTTTGCCTGAAGCCCCTGCTGATAGACCACAGGCGGCTGCTCTGACTCACCACCTGCAGGAGGATCAGTGAGGATCTGTCACCCCCCCGCCTTAGAAAATGGATGTATAGTTATACTTTGCTTTGATGTTGACTAGATACATCTTTAGTTTACTAAGTTTAGTTAGTATGCCATTTTGCATGAAGCACATAGTATATATTAGAGCGCTACTAATCTGTTTGTTTTCTTATAAACAGAAATAACTCTTTTTGCCTTATTTGTTTAATTATCTTTTCACGTAAGCCCCCGCTGAAAGATCAAGGCTGTGTTTTCACCGACAGAGAAGCCTCCTGTGGACCACTGGTCCACCTGCAGGAGGACCAGTGAGGACCAGTGAAGACTAGTGTACACTCGCAGCCACAATTGCTGGTCCAATCGCGCGTTCCCCTTTCTGAGTTTTGAGGAGAATGTTGTAATCCCACACCCAACCACGTGATGGCGATCTCACAGGAGTTGCCTGGGAAACCAAAGCGGTCCCATTTACGCTGCTACTTTCTCCTCTTCAGAACAAAAACATACCAAACTGTTTAAGCTCTGTTGTGGAAATTCTGTACATAACGAGAGTAAAAAAATGTAAACAACTCAGAGCTGTAATTACAAACAAAGTGTGAGTTTATTCATTAGTAAATGTGCACAATTACAATGAATAACAGAACCGATACCAATACCACCTGGCAGCCGTCTGAAACCAACTGCCACGATTGAGGAAATGACTGTACATTAAATAGACCAGAGTAAACAAACACATATCTATTACATTACATACGGGCGGCACGGTGGCTGAGTGGATAGCACGCTCGCCTCTCAGCAAGAAGGTCCTGGGTTCGAATCCCGGTTGGACCAGGGCCTTTCTGAGTGGACTTTGCATGTTCTCCCCATGTCTGCGTAGGTTTCCCCTACCACTAAAAATATGTACAATAGGTCTGGCATGTGCCTCCTGTACTGGCACCCCCACTCACAAAAATAACAATTGTAAACCGCTTTGAGACTCCGGTGTGCAGTGAAAAGGCGGTATGTAAATAAAGATTACTTACTACTACATAAATGGAGTCAACATTGATATGTGTTGCTCAAGGCTTCTCTTTACGCGTCCTAACGCTGATACAACTCTGATATATGTAACAATCTGCTTTTGAACTGAACATATTGTTCTATGGCCCAGATGAGGTCAAAGACATGATGCAGCACGTCTCCATCTATCACTGACCTGCTGCCAACAGAGCATTATGGCCTGTATTTGAATCCAGAGTTGACTATTGGTTATCAACTTACACTCACAACTATTTGGTGTTAATTCAGATTGCTTTACTAAAATATTTCTATAACAGCTCATTACATGTGTATCTAGTGTAGGTTTATGTGATATTTCTGTGGACTTATTATTTCATAAGTATTTTCAACTGTGATGTTGTGAATAAAGACACAGTTCTTGTTGGAAACAGTTATTAATAAATAGTATTCAGCACAAACAGCAAAACAGTAACTGATACATATCCGAGACCAAACATGAACGATTTAAGTGCAGGAGGAATGCAACAGAGGCGCTAAGCTACGAGTGCAGATTCAAACAACGACAATAGTAACAACTGTACAGAGTAAAGAACTGAACAGTCCACAATCTCCGCGTATATCAGGCTCTGAGCCAAAACTGCTTTTCCCTTCGGTTCCTTCGAAGCACGAAGTAATTTGCTCCGAACTACCTCGTCCATGCTCCTGCAGCCGCTCCATGCTTCCGTCCAAAACACACGGAACAATCAGTTTCTCTGCATAGTTAGACATTTTTGAGGGTGCGCGGCGGGCTACATAGGGGTCTTGCGGTGATCCTTGCGTTGCGCTAGTGCCGTCACGTCACCACCGTCAGCTCCGCGCTGCGCGACTATACACTAGGCTTGAGGCGCCTAGGAGGAGCAGGGGGATCAGGGATAGAGTTGCCACCTATGTCTGATTAAAATCCTGGACATTTCAGCCTGATCGACCCATTTGCTCATAAGCAAACCTTGGCTTTCACACATTTAACCTGACTGATAAAGCTCTATCACAAGGTTTTCTCAATAGTAATGTATTTTAACACTATTCCTTTGCTAGTTATTTGCTTAGTTGCTTCACATTTATTTACATGTCTAGTAGGGCTGCAACGTGTGACGTTGTTGACAAAAATCGATAATAGAAATTGTCGACAATGAATTCCATTGTCGACTATTGTCGCCAGAAGTGTTTTTCCAACAGAGTGAGGCATCCCCCGTCTCACAATCTCTGCCGAGAGCGTCTATCGAGCGGAAACGTAAACAGTAATGGCGGCGCCCGTCAGCTCTGTGTAGAAAAACTTCAAAATTTTGGGAGCATTGTAGTCTGGATACGGCAAATAAAAAAATTTACTTGCAAGGTTTGCAAAGCAGACATTGCGTATCACGACAGCACATCGGTGATGCATGAACATTTGAAGAGAAAGCATGAGAGAGAGCAAGATCCCAGAGCGTGGCCGCTTTGTAGTGAATGACAGTGGTTCTGTGAAGCTGCTGTGATAACAGCGGCGCAGCCAAAGCAAAGCCATAATGTGACCAGCGCGGACCTTTGCACAACCTGTGGATGCAATAAATCCACCGCTGTGAGAAATACAGCTGAACTATGTGAGCCTCTGGAAGTGTCCCCCGTGTCTCCTCCTGTAGCCCAGAAACTAAAACTCACTAAATTAAAGCTGCGGTACTTAAATTTCCCTTGCATTCATAATGCATCTTGGTAGTGCCCAAACGTAAAATAAATAATTATTACAAAAAAAAACCTCAATAGAAGTCTTGTTTTTTTTATGTTGTTTTTTGCATAATTAAGAGAGAACCATGATCAATATTTTACTTTACGCGTAATGTTTTCCTGTACCTAAGGGGGGCCTGGCAAACAATCAAACTATACTGACCAAGCACTGTGCCAAATTGGTCATTTTTATTTCCTTTTGTATGAACCAGCAGCAAAGTAGAATAAAATATGCATTTTTCATTGAAGTACCCATCTTTATTGTGTTTATCATTTGCCACATAGTAACTTCAGGCTAATATAAGCAAAAAAAAAATGTGTTTCAATAGTCGGTGACTAGTCGACAATTAAAATAGTTAGTTGCAGCCCTAATGTGTAGTCTTTATTGTTATTTTTTTGGCTTATTTTCAACCGTTTTTGGTTGTAGACACCTGGGGGCAGTAGTGGGCTGTGGATATAAAAAATCTTTTTGGATGTCAAAAACATCAGAGAGCCGAAAAAACAAATTTGCTGCGATCCGAGGGCCGGACTGTTGTAATGTTTAATTAAAACATACTAAAATGATTGCACATGACCTATTGAACCAAGACCTAAAACAGTGTACCGTATATTATTTAATGATTGAATGAATAATCCAATATTTCTTTATGGTTCCGTCAGTAATATTAAGTGATTCACAGACAAAAACAATCTTCCTTCAAAGTAAAATCACATGTCCTGTACAATAAATGAATAAAGCCATATTTCATCAGTAAAAATAATTTTGTTTCTTGCTTGTTTTGTTCCCCTGTAATGCCCAATCGAGTAGAGGGAAGTTTTACTGAAATCACCAGTCTCTGACAAAAAACTGAGAAAAAGAAGTGCATCCTGTTTTTAAAACATCCAGAGGCAGCGCTGGCTCGATAAAATATGCTCTAAAGCTAATCCCCATACATATTAGATATAATACTACTACTAGGTTTAAGCCTGATTTGGATTTAATTTAGTTCATCAAGACGGTGATTGATAACCCTCATCTACATAGTACTCTTCCATTTATACAGTACGTATTTGGTGGTTTTCTTTGCTGCAGCTGTCATCAGTCCTTGCTGCTCTTCAATGAATGTCTTGAACTTTTTTTTGACTGGCCTCTCACTGTCAGCTCCTGCAGCATCTCCGTCCTCCGTCTCTGCACCCATTTTTCACGCTTTTTCTCATTCACTACGAAGGCGCTCTGCTATCTGTCCTGCTTCGTCTTCGTCCGAAATACTGTCTGGGAGATATTTTTATAGATCCATGTAGGGGTGGGCAATTTGCCTTAAAATTCATTCACTCAGTATTGAATACATTTTATCATATAATATTATTCCATATTAAAGAGACACCGTGCTTTTGAAATGCAGATTGAACTGAAGACCCTGTGGTTAGTGGTTTGCCAACTTGAGAACAGAAAAATAAGGGACACCGTTTGGGTGGATCAGGTTGAGCACTTTTTAGTCCTAATTTCAGTCTACACAGGAATCATGGAATTTCATAAACAGTTTTTAGAACTTCACTACATACACTTCACTACTAACTAAAAAAAACCTTAGTCGAAAATATAATTAAATAAACAGGTGGAACTCTTTGGCTGGTTAAGAACTTAAAGCTGCACTAACTGATTTTATTTTTGTATTCATTACGAAAATGCTATCCATGTCCATGTAGTGTATTGGGATATACATCATTTTGAAGAAAAAGTAGCGCAGGTTTGTGCTGGCGTGACATTATATTTTAGATCGAGTTTTGATGAAACAAGGAAGAGAATGTGTTTCGGGTCGCGGATTGTGACCAATCACAACGGACCACTAGCCCCCACTTTCGTAAGAAATCTACAGGTCCGTTAGCATAGGCAGCTGAGTTAGCACAACAAGCCGAGGAGCTAACCTGAAGCTTCATGTCTTCGTCACCGGTTACTGCTTACACAGCGAGACAGCCATCCAAAAGAAAGCCCCGTTCCTCCGCTCTTCCCGGTTCTATCGTTCTATGGTCACGCCATCCACGTACAAATCCATATTCGTGTATTATCCATATTGGGAGACGCTAACTCCATCCCAACAGTGGGTGTGTGTGGGGGGCGATAGCTTCGTGGGTGCGGGGAGGGGAGCAGAAAGAGAGAGGCCAGCGAGTCCACGGCTTCAAAATCCCAAAGTCAGTTAGTGCAGCTTTAATGCATGCTCATTAGTCATAAAAAATATGAAAACAGATACTTCAGTAAAAGCTATTGTTTGTTTACAAAGCTGGTCTTGACATTTGTTGACGCTCCATAAGCGTTTTTCTCGGCGCTTGCATGAAAACAATGCATTGGATTTGAAAAATTGATGTAAATGTGATCATTTTGGCACTAATACTTTTGTTTAACAAAGTAGTTTTTGTGAGCTATTGACCGCGGAAGTCCGAATCTGACGCTAACTTTACCAAATTTCTGCTGTCATGATGCCCCTGTCCCGCCACACAATGTCAGACGTGCCTCGGCCAATGAGTCTGCGGCGTGCTACGTCATTTATATGTAGACTGCGCAAGGGGTTTTTACTTCTCATAGAAAAACCAGGACAATCAGTGTCCTGGGAGTGTCCCCCCCCCCTCTGGTTTTAATAACAAGGAGTCTGGGTCACTGTGGGCAGAGCCTATATCACCTCAGGAAGCACAGGGTCTGACTGTGGGAAGACTGCGGCAAAGAGGAGACATTGAGACATGTATGAAGAACTGGTGACTCTAAAAACATCCTATACATTTATATCAGTGGCTCTGGATGGTCGTAAATTTATTTATTTGACTGGAACAATGCAGTCAGACATAGTTACAAAGTAAAGCTCGACTTTTAACTGGAACTCTTATATGGGAGCATGTGACACCGGTTTTAAAATCTCTGCACTGGCTTCCAGTTGGTTTTAGAATTGATTTTAAAATTATTTGATTTACTTTTAAATGTTTAAATGGACTGCCCCCCTCCTACCTCTGTGATCTTATTCTGCCCTATGTTCCCTCTCGTGCCCTGAGGTCGGCAGATCAGCTGATGCTGGTGGTCCCTAAGACACAGCGTAAGCTTTGTGGTGACCGAGCTTTTTCTGTCGCAGGTCCACGTCTTTGGAATCAGCTACCCAGTGAGATAAGACAGGCTCAGTCTCTGCCTGTTTTTAAGTTACTTCTTAAAACTCATCTTTTTTCATGTGCTTTTGATAATGTTTGATTTTAGGTAATATTGTTTTATATATGTATTTTTTAGTCTTTGTGTTTGTGTACAGCACTTTGGCTGAACTGTAACGTTTTTAAAGTGCTTTATAAATAAAGCTGGTATGGTATGGTTAAGCTGCAGCTGATGCAGACAGAGGTTATAGCAGGTACTCATTTACAACGTTATCATACTGTGGCTGAACGGGAGCCGCCTGGTTTGGAATAATGCAGAGTTAGCCTGAAGACATTTAGGTTTAGTTTTGGACAGAGATGCACTGATCCAGCTGTTCCAGTCTGTTACTGATCCTCTGCTGGAAAAGCATTAAAGGTATTTAGGGAGATTTCATATGAAGTCTCAACTCTCGTTTTTCACCGGGCCACTCTAATTGTCTTTTCTCCTTATCGGTTAGGGTCACCACATAAATAGTACTGACTTGACAGTAAAATAATCAGTTTGAAAAATAGTGCAAAAAACATTCCATAAAGGTCAACATTCCAGAAATAACAGCGAGTTTCTCAACTTCCATCTTCACTGAGAGTGTTTGAAACAAACTGAATCTGAGGAGTTTACCAAAAACACAAACTGTACTTCGAGATTCTCAGGGAATGAATCTTCCAGAGATTTTTGACTGAGAGTGTGTCAGGAGGTTGTATAGAACATCAGGTGACATTCTTTGAAACCACATGGCTTGTAAAACGCATTGTTTAATGAGAACATTATAACTTCTAAAACCAACAATGTCAAAATGTGTTATAATTTTTTGACGTGTCTTTGTTGTATTTGTGGCAGATCTACAAAGTCCATCTACAGAATGGGGTTCACCTGTGATCAGTGTGGAAAGACCTGCAGCTCTGCTTCTGCACTAAAGACCCACTACAGAACTCACACTGGAGAAAAACCATACGTGTGTGATCTGTGTGGAACAGGTTTTAATAGAAAAGGAGATCTTGAGCGCCACAGCAGAATCCACACTGGAGAAAAGCCCTTCAGCTGTGACTTCTGTGGTCAGAGTTTTAGAGAAGACGGTAATCTCAAAGATCATCAGAGGATCCACACAGGAGAGAAACCATTTGAGTGTGACGAGTGTGGAAAAACATTTAGGATCAAACAGCAGCTCTCACGACATCAGCATGTCCACACAGGAGAGAGACCTCACCAATGTGACCAGTGTGAAAAGACTTTTACACAAATATCTGACCTCACTCAGCACTACAGAATCCATGCTGGAGATAAACCATTCGTCTGTGGAGACTGTGGGATGACGTTCAGTCGGTTTTCAAACTACAAAAGACATGAAAGAATTCACACTGGAGAAAAACCATTTGCATGTGACTTCTGCAGTAAAACTTTTAGAACTGCAACACATCGCACACTTCACCATCGGAGCCACACTGGAGAGAAGCCGTACAAGTGTGATCTGTGTGGACACAGGTTTTCCCAGAGAGGAGATCTTAAGCTACACAGCAGAATCCACACTGGAGAAAAGCCCTTCAGCTGTGACTTCTGTGGTCAGAGCTTTACTCACAGTAATTCTCTTAAAGACCATCAGAGGATCCACACTGGAGAGAAACCATTTGTCTGTGAAAAGTGTGGGAAGTCTTTTACACAAAGCTCATCTCTTCATAGACACAATAAAACCTGTAAGAAGCAGGTGTGAAGATGCAGCATCTGGAACAAAGTGAAGGAGACAGAGCTGAGGCTGCATCATGTGAACCCAGAGTCAGACTCTACAGGATCACACTTCAGTCTTAACCCTGTGCTGCAGCTGCTGAGCTTTACAGACCAAACACTTATTGTGGATTTGAACATCTTTACTTTGTGTCTGGAGACTCGGATACATCATGTTTTTGTCTAAAATTATTTTTAACTAAAATCCAGATAAAAAATATTGAAAATATTTGAAAAAATAGTTACTCCAAAATTATGCTTCTGTTTTCTACCAGCGCAACTCAACACTTGTTACACATGTTGGCTTAAATATATGAGTTAAGGGCCGGGAAATGTCACTGATGACTTCTTTGGCCGTGCAGACGTCAAACTCATCGTCTCGATCTTGTGACCTTTTTGTTTTCATGCTTTGAACAATGTCTAGGACTTCTTTTTCAGTGTTAGACTCAGAACCTGTGAGAGTTGTTGTTTTGAATGGTTGATGCAGCTCTGGCCCCACATGGATAAAGCAGTAGTTTAGTTCTTTCATGTGTGTTATTTCTGCTCCATGACTTCCACAGTATTGAGGCAGAGTCTGTCTTCTGATGCTTTATTGAGGACAGTGTTCACTTCCTTCCACAGGCCTTTCCTCTACTTCCTTGTTTCCTCCAAGAGCCAACAGTCATGTTGTTTATGACACGTCCCAATCATGTTGTTCATGTATGTTTATATTTGTGTTTGCTGTTTCAGATTCCTCTCCTTCTTTTCTTTTTGAATGCTGGATAAAGTGTGTTTTCTTCTTGCAGCTTGTCTTAGTCCTTTTGTCGTCTGTGGCTGGATTTTCCTTCTGTGTTTGTGATAAAACACGTTCAGGGAAGAAGGGCGGCGAGGGTGAGCATGAAGCCGATCCCCAAATCTTCTCCAGCAGAGAATCCACTGAAGCAGAGGAAGCAGCCTGATAAGTGCAGTAGAATCATTGTTTTCTGGATCTAAACATTCAACAACATCAGATATTGGTCGATGAGCAGAATGGATTTAGGAAGAACAGAGCATTGAGCACATCTATGTTCTGTCCTCTGTGGTGCGAGCCAGACTGCAGCAAAACTAAACTACTTTGTTTTGATGATTGAAGCCTTTGATTGGATAAACAGTTTCTGGATAGAAGTGAATTAAATGTAGCATTACTGGATATTTGTATAAATGTATAAAATCCCTTCACAAGGCTCTGTTCGCCTGTGAGCAGTGAATGATCTGAGGCTGTTTGTCTTCTCTCCAACTTTATCTGCAATTTATGTGAATGATTTAGCTCCAGAAATGAAGAATGCAAACCTGCGTTTA